CCCTATATTATTAAATAATTTTTTAAATAAAGAATTTAGTTAGTTTAAATTATATGTAAATATTACATAAATAAGTAATAATAGAATTAAATAAATAACTTATAACTTACAAACTAAAAAAAATTACAAAATAAATTTTAAATAAAGAATTTAATTAGTTTAAATAATATGTAAATATACTATAAATAAGCAATAATAGGATTAAAGAAATAACTTACCCCCTATATTATTAAATAATTTTTTAAATAAAAATTTAGTTGGTTTATCAATTATTAATTAGTTAGATATAACAGAAAAGTATTTACTATAGTAAATTAATGTATTCACTTACAATCTAATTATTTAAATTAAAAATATAATTAGTTAAATTATGTAAAATATTAAACAAATAAATATACTAATATATATATTGTAACTTACCATCTGTAATATAATTAATTATTAAATAGTTATTTAAACAAAGAATTCAGTAATTTGAATATTATGTAAAATAAATAAAATAATAAAGTAAAAAAACTAAAAATTTAAATAACTGATAACTTACTAACTAGTATTATTAATCATTAATAAATTATTTGGTTACAATAGAATATAATAAAAATAATAATTAATTTCATTAATTTATTTAATATAATTTTTATACAATATAGTTAGTTTATATTTGCAAAATTGTTTAAAATTTTGACAGGGTAATTCTAATTTTATATTATATATTTATGCTGTATGATTACCTTTATCAATACATTGATCCATTACTATATCAAATTCTTCCTAATTGGAAAGTAAAGTAAATATCTTTTTTTTTATTATTTATATTAAACGGTATAATATTTATGCAAAACGCATTGTATACAAATGTTGATCAAGTACATGTATGACAAACAAATTTTGCATGTCAATCATCTCATGAGCATAGTTAAAAATCCATTTATTGGTTCGATTTCACGTGCCGATCAACATTAAGCAGCCAATAAAAAATAAAAAAAAATTACACGTGATAACATACATCAAATTCTAAAACCAAACGTAACACAATTTTTTATTGTTCATTTAACTTTAAAATATTTTCGTTTACATCTATTTTCACCAGCTGAAAGGTGAATTATAATATTTGCATATTTGGTATGTATCATGTTTGTTCTTGATAACAATTGGTAATAGTTTTTAAAGGCTTTTGTGATTTTTTTTGTTTTTTGACCGTAGAGGTTTTATTTTTATTAATTGGTTGGAAAATATCCAATGGCTTATTCTCGATAAAATCTTTTAATATATATTTAGTATTTAAATATTTTTTAGATTTATAAAATAATAAAATAATTAAAATACCTCTTAAAGTTTTATGAAGACATTTGTCCAACTTATCTCCAAGTGATATTGTTTCTGGTATATTTGTATCATCCTCTTCAATTGTTTCGTCTTGTGGTGAGTCAAATTCATCACCAATGTTGCCATCCATTTCTAATCGTTCATTATACAATGCAGCTAAATCCTGAATTGAATTTTCTAGATAAATATAACAATGCTTACACTGAAAATTAGTAGATATTAAACAATTTATATGATAACCGTGGCCACAAGGAAATACAGCATCGATATTTGTTTGTGAGTTTTTACATTCATTATAATCACAACCAGTTTTGCAAGGAATTTGTTTAGTATGGTATCCTAATGGCAAAGCACCTTTAATAAATCCTTTTGCAATTCCTGGAAATACCAATAAGGTTTTTTAATTTTCTTGCCTTCTGATCTAATTTCAACAGTTCCAAGATTATTCCACAAATTATTAAAAAATTTTAATAGAAAAATAGCTGTTTGTTTCACCAAAACATCAATATTTTTCTTAGAATATGGATATGACTTCTTTTCTGCAAAGGACTGTGCAAAGTTATTATCATGGCGAAGGTAATCAACAAAAATTCCATCACGGCGCAACCATTCTGGACTCAAAACTTTAGCAGTAGTATGTCTTCGAACAAGACTATGGAAATTCTCAACTGGATATTCATCAAAGTAGTTAAGGTGAGATTTTAGTATTTGAAGTATAGGATGGTTAATCTGAGTCCAATAGTGAATATCAGATAAAAATGCAAGCATTATTTTATTATAATTTTTTCTTTGAAATCGACACATTACAGCCCAAAGTCTAAATATAGTCTCAACATATTCTTCAAAATGATTACCCCAAAATAGTACTGCATAAATATCAAGAGTGGATGGGACTAATGTATCTAATAGGTCTACAAAGGTACAGTAACCCAGATCTTTATTTTGTCCAAATCGTTGAAATACATGATTTCTTACTATTTTCCATCCTGCATGTGCCATATAAAGTAATAGATTAATCCGCCATGGTTTTGGTTTCGCAGCTAAATTTCTTTTACTTTGAAAGGTTGCCTTAAACATTTCATTAAAGAACGCCCAAAATGTAAGAAAAACACTTTCTTTAGTATTTAAAGCTACATGTAATGGTCCAAGAAATGGTACTAGATGTGTTATTTCGTTAGGTATTGTAGAACACTCTTGGAGTTTAAGCTTTTGGACAATTGCTCTTCTGATATAAAGCTGACCGGGAAAATCAGCAGGAATAGGTATTAAATAAGTTTCAAGATATTTCTGAATTTCAGGAATTCTAAATTATGATCTTATTATTAGAAAACAGAATATTATTAAATTAAAACATTGTTAATTAAATAGTACCTGAAAAATTCGCCAAGTGATTTTAAATAATCATTAGTATTTTTTAGATCTTGGGGAAGGAATTCAATCAATTTAGTTGAATTAAATGAGCGTTTTGAGTGTTTTTCCGTCAAATAAGCATCATAAGAATGAAGAACAAGAGAGTCAATTAGATTATCTTCATCTATTGTGGTCAAATCTTTTACAAAATTCCATTTAGTTTTTCTTTGGTAATAACTTTCACTTATAATGTTCATGTATTTTTTATTTAGCCATTGATTAAGTAAACCTGCGTCCACGCCATTAATATTATGCACATTGAATTCGGAATTAAAATTATAAGAAACAGGTGAAGTTTTTATATAGTTAATTAATATTGTTGCCATATGAGATACTTGTGATATTGAAGTGGTGCTTGGTATTCGTGATTGATGTAAATTATGATAATCATCGATATTTAAAATAAAAAGATTATTTGACTAGTAAAATTACACAATTATATTAATTATATTAAAATATTATTCAATGAAAAAAAGAACAAAAAAAAAAAAAATATTGATAATTACATTTTCTTGAATATAATTGCAGACCGATGTATTGTGATTGTTCAAAATATCCTTAATTTGGTTATAAACAGTTTGATATGTTGAACTTAATCCCATTCCAGCAATTGAATTAATCCCAGTAACTGACGTCCCAGAGCCAGCCAAAAATATTCCTATTGAATTTTTGACTGAACTAACATGTTTATTTCGTAAAGTTGCCATTTGGTAACAAAGAAGCATTACCTTTTGCTTTAAAGACTGTATTGTTTTATGACTTTTTCCTGCTGGGTTCATTGCTTTAAATATTGTATTAAAAAAGCTTTTAAGTTTTGAATCTCGACTTTCAATTAACTTGATAAACTCTTGAACGTCAAGAATAACTGGCTTGCCATCGCGCTGATAGTCATAAAGAATCTTTGTCATCCGTGATATTTGATCATCAAAAAATTGACAAAATCGAAGTGGTTCTATTTTCACGACAATTCTTTAATACTTGTTAATTAATTAAATTAATTTAAGAGTAAAATATAACAAATACCGCTAATTTGAGCCTCCTTTATCATAATATCATAGTCATTTAGTTCTGATTTTAATTGTTCTATTTGCTGCTGAAGCTGTTCTATGGTTACTTCTTTGTTAATAAGTTGTTCATATGTATTTTGTGATAAGCACACTCTTTTTTGTGATCCTCCACTCTTGTGATATGCTAAATCTCTGCTTTCTTTGCGTTTGTTACTGGACTTTGTCTTATTTCACGTGTATACTACAAATTGATTATAGTGTTGCTGACAAAGTTGGTCATTAATTTTAATAGTAACTGGTAAAAGGTGCGCTTCAGGTCCTTTATATGCTTCAGCTAAAGTATTTGTATTTAATTTTCGATATATTTCTGTTGTATTCTCACAACCACAAATTTTACACGGACCTATATTTTCCTTCTTTTTTCCACGCGTCATTACTATTATAGAAGACTAACCTATATTATGATCTCAAAAAACTATTTCGTGATCTTTAAAGTAGCACTATAGAAGAGTGTTTGGACAAAGTTTTGAAGAAAGTTATGATGAAGTGTTGCGCCAGTTTATTAAGGGGTTATTTTTTGTTTTTTTAAAGTACATATCGTGTATAATTGCCGATCACTAATTTTACTATTTAATTGATTTTGTACTACTATCATCAGCCAATAAACGCGATATTTAACTATGCTCATCTCATGTACAAAATAGAGAAATTTTCATAATACATATTATATAAATTTTTTAAAAGTCATTAAGATTATGTTTGGCTACTTTGCAGTGAAAAAATAATTATCAACAAAAATTGATTAATTTTTTAGAAGTATTTTCAAAAAAAACTTTTATATTATGAAAATACTACAAGTATTTTTATTAATTAAATAGTAGATTATAAATTTTATAATTACTATTTCTTATTATTTTATATTACGTCAATCTTAAAAAACTTATAACCAACTTAGGCCACACAAATTCGAATTTTCAGTTCACTTCACCCGGCCGGGTCACTTTTTCAATTTTATTTTATTTTTTATTTTTAAATCCACGTGAACTAGATTACAGAAAGATAAACAAGAACAAAAGATAAAACAAAAGTCAAACGCTATCTAATACTATGCTATAATCAAACCGCCTGAGGACGGCATCACTCTGGTACAAAAAACGAAACAAGGGTGGGTTCCAATTGCAATACCAATCCAAAGAAACCAAAGAACAGACAATCTAAACTAAGGAGAAAAGAAAAGATCCGTATTTTTCTTTCGGTCATAAAAGACCGCCACCTGTCAATACTGTAATAGGTGGAGTGGTTCACACTATTCTAATTGTTGTACGTTGTTATAAAATTGTGTACGTGGGGGTTACCCAAAAAAAAAGATGTAATAAAATACAAGTCGAAAAAAAATAAAAAGTAGCAAAAAATAATGTAAGTCTATAACTATCAGCGTGCTACTAAAAAAAAAGAAAAAAAAAAAGCTGATAGGTGTATCCAAAAGGAGTTAAAGTGAAGTGAAGACTTTAAAGTCTTCTGGAGACTGCGAAATATCTAGTCTCAATTTCTTGACGTGAGTATTAGATCTATCTATATCCGTGATCAAGATAGGAGGACGTTTATGTGGTCTGAGTTCAAGTTGTTTTGTGTCATCTGACGTGTGTCCTTTGTAACGATAGTGAGGTGCGTTGTCGTCCATGACTGAAAAATAGTCAATTTGGGAAAAACCTAATTCCTGTTCTAATTGGAGTAATTGTTTGTTAGATTTATAAACGTTTTTTCCTTGTTTGATTCTGTTCTCTAGAACAGCACAACGCTCAATCAGAGGCGTGATTTTCTTGTGATAATGTTCTTGAAAGTTGGTGAGATCTTTCGTCATATCTTCACGATATTCTATACGGTTGGAGGAGGTACCCCAGAGCTTAGCTCTGGCAGAAAGTTCTTTTTCGTAAGCAAGACGTGCAATTTCACTTGCCTCTCGATCTTTTTGTTGTCGCAAAGCTAGTTCATGAGCTTCTTTACGTTTTCTAATACCATTTAACCAGTACACACTGCCTGGTACATGTTGTTGACCTTTGAGTTTTGCCTGTCTTTTAGAAATGTAAACCGGTTCGTCGTTTACGTAAGCAAAGAGGTCGTTAGGAATCCAAATGCCCAACTTATCATGCCAAATGTTCTCATCTTTGACGAGAACGGGTTGTGAGTTATTGGCAGGCGAGCTAGTATTTGATGTTCTAATTGAATCATTTCCTGGACAAAGTCGAAGGGGCGGGTCAAGATTAGTTAAGGTAGCTACTGCACCTTGAGTCTTAATAATGGGATCTGGAGGTATATAGAAATTGTAATGTTTCTCATCTCTGAGCACTACTTTCTTGTGATATTTCAAATGTTGTATAGGTTTGTTAATATGTTGTGAAGGTAAAAATAAAAATCGATGTTGTTTAGCACAGCGAAGTTTTTCTTCAAGACTATCCACACGTTTCTGTGATTTCTTGTTATTACCACGATTGTAGAAAACAGATCTACATGCCCGCTGAAAGTGGGTTTTTTGTTTTTTACTCCTTTTACTGCTGTCGGAGTGGTGTGAACGGAAATTATCCAATCGTTTATGGTACATACGACAGTCCTTGTAGATGTGAAAAGATTTATATCCATTTGCTAAATATGAGACATCATAGGAAATGCCTAGACGATTTGAGTAAATGTGTTTTGTGACGCTGTTGTGCCATCGGAAATAAGTACGGTTTGCATGAAACCGTTTGTTGTTGATAATGTTATTATTCGATACCGGCGTGTGTTTCTTGATATTATGAAAAATATCTAAATTTTTTTGATGAGAAACACAAGCTCGTCTATTGTGAGACATAATGAAAGGGGAGGGGACACTACACAACTGTGTGTGTTCAGTTCCAAAATTGTAAGTGTGGAAAAATTACATGGTGTAAAGATACCAAAATGAAAACGATAACGTTTATAAGAAAAGTTAAAGAAAGTTTTTGTGCGGGAATTTCTTTGTGTGACACTGTCAGCACGTGATTTGATAACGAAATATCTATCAAGTAATTTAGAACGAATAAGATTAAAATATCTCTTTTGAATGGAGCGTGGGATGACTTTTTGATGAGAAAAAAAATGTTGTAACATCTTACTAATCTGANAATTTAGAACGAATAAGATTAAAATATCTCTTTTGAATGGAGCGTGGGATGACTTTTTGATGAGAAAAAAAATGTTGTAACATCTTACTAATCTGATATTTCAGATTAGGAAAGCTACAGGTGGAAGAGTAGCTAATAGGGGTTGATTTCATGTGATAATCATTTGTGTGTATTTTAAGATGAATATCATTGGTGTTTGATGAAAAATCAGCTAACTCAAAAAAGAAACTTTTTGATCTTCTGATTTCGTAAATCTTGTTACATCCAGCCCGATTGGGTCTAGTCACGTGAAATTTATGGAATGAGACGTCAAAAGAAAATTTTCCCAAGGGAATAGGTTTAAAAAGAGTAGAAACCATATTTTTCAATATGTTTTGTAAATATAAAGAAAAAATATTATAAAAACTTCTTTCAGAGGTCGGGTGATGAGGAGAAGAACCTTTCCATAAGAGGCCACCCAGTGGTCCTCTTTCTTCTCGAGCGTTAAAAAACGTAAAAAGGGTGTAAATTAAAAACAGTATCTAACTGCGGATTTCTATGTGAAAAAATGGAAAGGGGAAAGAGTTTTTTTTCTGGGTCACTTTTTCAAATTTCAATAGAAAAAAGTTTATATATAAAAAGTTTATCACGTGATCAGGACGTAATTTTATTGGCGGGTAAGTTTATCACGCGGCTGAGAACGAAAATAAATTCCTCCCTTTTAAAAGTCAACCAATCAAATGTCACGATTTTATATATAAATTTTTTTTACTAATAAACAATAAACCCTGGGTCCCCGGGTCGATTTTAAATTTCAATGTTACGTGAACCGAAAAATTGAATTTGTGTGGCCTTAGGAAAAATATTTGAACAATTAAATGTATTAGAATCTGTTCATTTCATTTATTATTATTCTTTTGATACTCATTTTACTCGATAAATTATTAATTTAACTAAACCATTTTGAATTAAAATCTTTATTCAAAAATCTGATGATTATTTAGAGAATTTCGGATATGGATTTGGTTATAATAATCTATTATTAAATCAACAATTTCTTCAATTAATTAATCATAAAATATTGTAAACATATCAATTTTTTTTTGATTTTTATGAAGTTGAAAATCAAACTGTTTAATCATCTTTTCTATCAACGTCAGTCAATTTTCCTGTATGTTATATTGTTTTTTTTAAAAAAATAATAATTTTGTAAATATATTTAATACAGTATAATATTTTATTTCTTTATTAAAAAAAATTGAAAAAAAAGAAAAAAAAAATTAAAAGAATTTGGGAGGAAAGAAAAAGGATAAAGGAAGAAATCGGTTTAAAAAACTGAAGGTAAATTTCTGAAAAAAAAAGGAATCTGAAAAAAAATAAGCACCGAAAAAAAATGTCAAAAAAAATTTCATTGGATTAGTTGATCGGAATGCACACAGATCGAATAGTTTTTGACCATAAATAGATCAGGTGGAGGCATGTCATGGGTTTTAATTATATGGCATGAGATTTCAAGTTACACAATTCAAATTATTTATGTGGAGACTAATCCAAACGTCAGAAAAATTTTTTTAGTTAAAACAATAAAAAGATATTATTGGGCGTTTTTTATAAAACTAGTAACGATTTTGTTGATCATTTGTTGATCATTTATTTTATAAATTTTGTCACGAGATTTTCTATGGAAATCATTTCTCAATTTGTTATTAAAACACCTGCTGAATTGCCTCGAAATTGAAAATCATTTCCCTTTTTATAAAAAAATTTCCTTTTTGGTAAAAAACTCTCAGATTAATCTTATATAACTTTATGTCAATGTCAATGTCAATGTCAATGTCAGTGACAATGTCAATGTCAATGTCAATGTCAATGTCAATGTCAATGACAATGACAATGAAAAAAACTTCTAATGCCAACTTTTAGCAAAAACTCTTCCTGTGCCACTAAAAATCCCTGTTAAATTGTTGCATCATTCAATATTTGCATAATTTCATTTTTTTGTTGATCATTAAAATTTCATAAAATATTGCAAAAAAATAAAAAAATTGTAAAAAAAACGTTTCAGCATTTTTTCATATAATATTATTAAAAAAAATGCCAAAAACTTTTTTTTTTGCATTACTATTAAGAAAAAAACGTTTTGGCATTTTTCCATATAAAATTATAAAAAAAATAACGCAAAAATGTTTTTTTTTCATTTTTTATTTTATTAACAAAAAATTTCAAGACTGACGTTTTTAATTAAAAAAAACCAATATTTTTTTGATTTTTAATCACAAAAACGTCAAGTCTGACGTTTTTAATTAAAAAAATCATTTTTTTGATTTTTTAATTACAAAAACGTCGAGTCTGACGTTTTTAATTAAAAAATCATTTTTTTTTGATTTTTTAATTACAAAAACGTCAAGCCTGACGTTTTTTAACTAAAAAAGTCATTTTTTTGATTTTTTAATTACAAAAACGTCAAGCCTGACATTTTTTAACTAAAAAAGTCATTTTTTTGATTTTTTAATTACAAAAACGTCAAGTCTGACGTTTTTAATAAAAAATCAATTTTTTTTATATTTAATTATAAAAACGTTTGATGACCCGACCCAAAATTTTCGAGTCAATCTGACAGTATAATGATTATAACTCACTAATAATTACCAAGTTACTCTAGTTA